ATGGATGACCTGTTTGCTATGTTTCCTTTCTATTTTCCTGAAAATAATGTTTTCTTTTGATTTTTTTCATTTGCTTAGTTTTCTTTGTTCTTATTGCTAATTCTTCCCAAACTTCCCACTGCAATTTCCAGAATAACTTTCCACATCAGGTAGTTTATCAGCTTCCATTGTCACAAACATTCTTCTCTTTATCTCAGACTGCTGCTGTCTCTGCCTTTTGGGCAGCTGTCACCTTGGTCTTCCCTTTACCATCACCCAGAGAGGAGACACCTTGCCTTTCTCTTGAGTTGGATTCCCTGATGCCTCTGTCTCTGAGTTTCCTTTTGTTCTGTGGATACTTTCATCCTCCAGTAGTTTTGTCATGTTAAAAAAAAATTGATACACAATTTTCAATTATACTTTAACAAAGGTGTAAAACACTTTAAATTGGTACAATGTGAGAGGGCTTGATGATATAAGCATTTCATATATCTCATAGAAGCACTTCATGTATCTCTTAAGACAAGTGCAGTTTTCACTGGTTCTTTTTATACCTGGAACACCTGTCTCCTGAGACACCTCTTGGTCATCTTCCTGAGCATTCCCTAACTTTTTTTAGCATCCCATTTCTCCCCCTTTCTTGAGTTACTCCCTCATTTTAGGTAAATACACCCGAAGAAATCATACCTGAGAGAACCTTTTTGAGACTCTGTGCTTGAAGACAACTTTATTCACCATGATGCTTGATTGATGGCACAGAGCTGCATTCTGGTCATGCTGACCTCCAGGGAGTTATTCCTGGAACTTGACAGATACTCCTCTCCCTGTCCCCTTTCCATTTGCATTTGCTACAGGCTAACTTGCCTCAAAGATTATAATCTCAGTGACCGCTCTCTATAAATTTGCAAATCTGCATGTCCATCTCCCTTCCTTCTTTCATTTTTTTTCCACAATACTTATCACCACCTGGCATAATATGTATTTTCCTTTGAGGGTTTGTTTTGTTGTTTCTTTTTCTTTCTTCTGTATTTCTCTACTAGACAGTGAGCTCATTGAGGCCAAAAGCTGTTTGTTCTGGTCGTGTAGTAGCTATCAATATTCGCTCAATGAATTAATAATAAACACTTATTTTCTATCTCTATGCCAAAAGTGAATACAACTTTCTAGTTATGACAAGTAAAAACATGTTGGTTCCATATCAAATTAAGAACTTGCTGGTCACACCACTTGAAAATCTAAAGGAGATTATGGAATCTCTTCTTTTTAGAATTTTAATTTTATTGTTTTTACATTTACTCATGTGTATACATTGTTTGGGCCACCTCCCTCCCTGCCCTCCCCCTAGAATTTTTAACATGAAATAGGCAACCACTTGACACATATCACCCACTGCATAACTGGGAGCCTCGAGCAGCATTTCAAATGGCCCTTCTTTTGCACATCTTGCTCACCACACTCACCCTCTGCCCTGCCATCTTCTGCCACTGGTAGGACTTTACAACCCCCAGCACCACCCTATGTATACACTACACTCATCTTCACCTATTGCTGACTTATCTCACTTTGCACTTGACTTTGGACAGACCTCCTGCTTAGAAAAGGACTGAAACAGCCATTTAGTCTATGCCCAGTTTCCAGACTCCTAACTAGTGCCTACACCATGTACACATACATATAAACACTCTCCACGCTTTCATGGGAATCCCTCACACCCTAACATAACAGGTACTTTGAATCTTTTTATTTTTCTTACTTCATGATGAAATAAATGACCTTGGCATTTAGTGCTTGACTTTCTTATTGCAGTATACAGTGCTTAATATTGGAATAGCCTGTGATACTGCCATGTCTAATTTTTACATAAGAATTAGACAAAAGCATAATTATTTAATAATATTCCAAAGTTGTGGTAAGGTTTTAGTGATTCTCCACTCTACTCCCTCCAAGGAAGTGCCTGTTGCCTTAGTTGCTTCAATCTTGAGTCAAAAAGAGAATAGTCTCAAAATCACATTTAAATAGGGCTGCTAGATTCTGCAATCAAAAATATAAGATGTCCTGTTAAATTTGAATTTCTCATAAACAAAAATAATTTTTAGCACATATGTATGTTGATGGGTACCCTGTATTTTTATCAAGTAACCCTCCATTTATTTATTTTTTTTATTCATATGTGCATACAGTGCTTGGGTCATTTCTCTCCCCTGCCCCCACCCCCTCCCTTATCACCCACTCCGCCCCCTCCCTCTCCCCCTCACCCCCTCCATACTGGCAGAAACTATTTTGCCCTTATCTCTAATTTTGTTGAAGAGAGAGTTTAAGCAATAATAGGAAGGACCAAGGGTTTTTGCTAGTTGAGATAAGGATAGCTATACAGGGAATTGACTCACATTGATTTCCTGTGCATGTGTGTTACCTTCTAGGTTAATTCTTTTTGATCTAACCTTTTCTCTAGTTCTTGGTCCCCTTCTCCTATTGGCCTCAGTTGCTTTTAAGGTATCTGCTTTAGTTTCTCTGCGTTGAGGGCAACAAATGCTAGCTAATTTTTTAGGTGTCTTATCTATCCTCATATCTCCCTTGTGTGCTCTCGCTTTTATCTTGTGATCAAAGTTCAATCCCCTTGTTGTGTTTGCCCGTGATCTAATGTCCACATATGAGGGAGAACATACGATTTTTGGTCTTTTGGGCCAGGCTAACCTCACTCAGAATGATGTTCTCCAATTCCATCCATTTACTAACGAATGATAACATTTCATTCTTCTTCATGGTTGCATAAAATCCCATTGTGTATAGATACCACATTTTCTTGATCCATTCGTCAGTAGTGGGGCATCTTGGCTGTTTCCATAACTTGGCTATTGTGAATAGTGCTGCAATAAACATGGGTGTGCAGGTGCCTCTGGGGTAACCTGTGTCACATTCTTTTGAGTATATCCCAAGAGTGGTATTGCTGGATCAAATGGTAGATCAATGTTTAGCTTTTTTAAGTAGCCTCCAGATTTTTTTCCAGAATGGTTGTACTATTTTACATTCCCACCAGCAGTGTAAGAGGCAACCCTCCACTTAAATAGCCAGTTGTGACATCAATGAAATCACTTGGTTAGGTTTGTTGTGAATGTGGAGGATTAACATTAAGATGGCACAAAGAGAGTAGGTTAGAATCTCGGTAATTGTTGCCATAATACAGCAGCTTATTTTAGGCTGGTTAAAGTCTGTGCTGTGAGGAAAGTGTGAGTGATAAGATGCTGGTCCAGGAGCAGGATGAAGACATCCATCACTATGCTTCTTGCCTCAGATTTGCCCACCCCTGTCGTCTGTAGTAGAACAGAGATCACACCATGGCAACATAGATTCAAATGTATTTCCCATGGTGCAAAGAAGTCAAATCAAATCACAGATATCACTGGAAGCCTTTCAATTCACTCATCCCAGAGCCTTCCATGGATATCTTAGTCAGCTCAGGCCACCATAACAAAATACCATGAACTGGGTGGAATAAACAACAGAAATTTATTTCTCACCATTCTGGTGTTCAGGAAGTTCAATATCAAGGAACTAGCAAATTTGGTTCCTGATTAGGGCTCTTCTCCTTGTTTAAAGATGGATGCCTTCTTGCTATATCCTCACATGGCAGAAAGAGAGGTCATCTCTTTGAAGCCTCTTATTATAAGGACACAAATACAATTCCATTCATGACCTAATTACCATTCCACTCTCATGACCTAATTATCTCCTAAAGTCCCCCTTTCCAATCACACTGGGGAGCAGAGTTTTACTGTATGAACTTGAGGGAGACACAAACATTCAGTCCATAACAAAGAAGATTTGAATAAAATTGTAAGTTTATGTCCACAGAGATCTTAGATATTAAGAAGTACTATTTCGGACAGTTGAGTTATGGATAGACACACCTAACCACTCTGCAGGTGAGAGAAAAGAGAGTGCTTCTCTGAAATCTGGGCATAACTCACCAATGGTCAGGTTTCATTTTAAGAAAGTAATAAAACTAATATGATTCTACCTATCAGGGCTGTTTATCACTTGGAGTTTCAGTTTTGGTGATTGCACTATAGTAAATTAGCTGACTGCAAGTCCAGAGATGATATCTGCACCAGACAGTCCATTCATCATACTTAGCATTTGGATTTCAACAGAGCTTTCTCACATATTTGCCAAAATGCCACTGCAGGAATCATAGACAGCTCCCTGTCTATGTCTTAAACATCCTCAGTGGCTCTGGATTTAGGTTTATTGGAATATTTTAATAATCCATCAATCTCTTTACCTGAAAATTTCATAGAACCACTTTCTTAGCTCATAAACATTTATTGACTTTAATTTTGCACCAGAAATGGAGTGGACTTCATCAGTTCAATGTGTACTTACCCAAGAAAGCAATGCAATGGGCATAATAATGCAACACTGGCAAAGATTTTGAATATTATCAAATATTTAGCAAGCTGACCAATATAAAGTTCAAATTATATGTGTCACAGACACCTTTACACTCTCAATACCATTTTACAAATTGGCAAGTTATTCAATCAGATCACCCAGTTTTGAAAAAGTATAACTGAATTTGGTAAAACTACCAAAATGTGATAATTGAATACAAAAAATTCAATTGCATGTAATGTAGGTTTGCATTATTAGAAGGCGAATAAAATTTCTGGACCAAAAATGTGCAGCTAGTTTTCTGGACACTCCATGTGGGAGGACTGTGGTCCCCAAGTGTGCTGGGTCTGGCTGGGCAGTAATTCCAGAAATTCTGGGTAATGGGTCCTCTTTGTGTCTCATATAAGTATTGGGCCTGAATAAAATGAATTCAGGGACCTAGCCCTTGTCTCCCTAGGTTTGGATATGGTGGTACCTGCCCTTCCTATCAACTTCTCTTTGTGTAAAATGACCAGTAAGGCAATCAATGCAAATATCTTTTTCTTAATTTAATCCTAACTAATTTTGATTTTTTTTCCCATTTTCTCTTCTTTGGTAAATAATTGATCATAACAAAATCAGTCTCAGGAATGTCCTCCACACATAGCTCTTGGCCTACACCTGCAGTGGACTCTGCCTCCCCATCTGAAACTCCACCTCTCCTTACCACATCAAGCATCTTCTCTCTGACTGATCAAAGAGCCACAGACCTAACGTCCCTTGGCCAGACATTGCTAATCCCTGGGCTCACCCTCCCCACTGTGGATTCTTCTGCCACTAGCCAGTTGACTCTGGAAATTTCACATTCACTTGCACCCTCAGATGACAGCAGGTTGAGTGCAGGCCACAGAGGAATAATGAGAGCTCTCGATGGGATGGATGCATCTGACACTCCTGCCTTGCCTGAGGTACCCAGACAGAATGGATATGTTTCTACTCCTGACCATTTCTTGGACACCACAACCCCTGTCCCTGCTCCACAGTACATTACCACCAGCTTGATGACCACTGCCTCCAGGGGCCAAGAGCTGGTTGTATTCTTCAGTTTGCGTGTGGCAAATATGCCCTTCTCTGATGACCTGTTCAACAAGAGCTCTCTGGAGTACCAAGCTCTGGAGCAACGATTCACACAGCTGGTAAGTGGGTGCTGCTCACAATTCTCAGCCCCCTCCATTCCTTCTTGTTGTTGTCATTTTAGAGTAGAATCATTGGCTGTCTGAAGCAATGGAGGTTACAAGAGATAAGCCTCCAAGGTAGCTGTTGCCAAAGGCATTCAACTAGAGTTTTGAGATGGATTTCCATCCAATTAGGGAAGTGAGTCCTTTGGATGACACTAGAGGCAGATATCACTACCCAGCTTGGTGGCAACAAATTTACCCTTGGCTAAGCATAGTAGCACATGCCTGTAATCAAAAAGAGGAGATTAAGAGGATTATGATTCAATCCTCCTAATTGAGGAGGATGTTTGTCCAGACAAAATATTAGAAAGACTCCCTTCTCAATAAACAAGCTGGGCATGATAGGTAGCTCTCCTCTATGAACCCAGCTATGCAGGAAATGGAGATAGGAGAGTCACTGTCCAAAGCTGGCCCCATGTAAAAATGAGGAACTCTATCCAAAAAATAAAGCAAAAAAGAGCTGGAGTCACGGGTAAGTGGTAGAGCACCTGCCTAGCAAGCATGAGGCCCTGAGCTCAAACCCCAGCACCACCAAAAACAACAACAACAAGATAGCCTTAAAATGTCCTCATTTTGGTTCTTCGTAAATTGTTTTATCCAGGAATAATACAAAAATCACTGAAAGTTGGAATCTAAAACACAATATGGGCAAATTTTTCTTAAATTACAGCCATCCTGTGAAAGGGGACAAACCTACACTGGTTAGGCCAGGCATGGTGGTACATACCTGTAACCCAGTACTTGGGAAGCTGAAGCAGGAAGATCACAAGTTCAAGGCCAGTCTGGGCTACATAGTGAGATCCAGTCTCAAAAACAAAGAAACAAAAGCTATACTGGTCAGCACAGATGAGGCTGAGTTCAAGAGCACAGTCTCCTTTGTTTAGTTCCCTTAAGTTCTTATAAACTTGAAAAAAGGACTACAGGACTTCTCATCCTGATCCTTAATAAAGAAAGTGAGATGATTGTCATGATTAGTCATGTCTTTGGTAATAAACACCCACAAGCTACATGTTATACAATAAGAAATGCTAAACTATGTGATACCCCTACAGAGCCACATCCATTAAAATTAGTTATACAATACATATAGCATGGATTGCAGAATTTCTGAAAATAAAATACTTGCATGCTTCATATTAAATAATTATGCAAATTAAAATCTAATTTCTCAAATGAACATTTGCTTTAAAGTAAGACTCTCTATGCTTCCCCCCTCCACACACACACACACCATGAGGGGAGTAGATGTTGGGACAGTCTCAGGGAACAGTGGCCCAGTGAGCTTAGCCCAGATGCTATCTACATTGGGATTTGTTCTAAGAAACCATAATGAAGACATCAAGAACACAGTAACAAATTAGATACAAGATTATTTCTCTTTCACATGGAAGGTAGGACAGTTCTGCTGTACAAGGTCATTCACAGACCCATATTTCTTCCACCCGTGACCTTGTCAACCTCATTTGCATAGCAAACTCTAGGTCATGGGAATGTCCCTGTTTCCACTTGTGAGAAGGAAAAGTCAGTTCCTTGTCAGCATGTGACACCAAAGTTGCCCATATGGCCTTCACTCACATGCTTTTGGTGGGACATAGCAACATGGTCACATCTTGCTGCAAGGGAGGCCAAGAAACATGGTCTCTAATGAGCCAACTTCTCTTCCATCACAGCTTGAAATGAGAGAGGGAGAAGGGGCAGCAAGCCAGCTGCACACAGGTGAAGACAGAAAATCCCTACCAGAGGCCAAAGCAATGCTGATGCACAAAGAATGAGCACAAAGCAAGTAGGAGAAATCAGGAGTGAGTAGATTGAAAAAGTTCCAGCCCCTGTATAAAATTTCACTTTATTTTCACAGTAATCTGGTGAGGGAGGTACTAGAGTATGTGTCAGGGTTACAGTCAACAGTCTGGTTGAGCACGGACAGGAGAAAAGGAAAAAGTCGATCTAGACCAAGCCTGGAGATTGCAGCTCGTATCTCTGTGTTGTGTGTGTTCGTAGGTGTGCAGTTCTTGAATAAGGGTGCTTACTTTTGGGGCCAGGGACGAGGCAGACATCGATGAGTTTCATTCATTTCTGAAAAAAATGATCTCAAAGATGGCTGCAGCTCACAAGTGGTAAGTGTGGAACCCGAGGCACAATGCCATGAGGAAACTGTTGAGGTTATTAAGTTATAGTTGGGCCCCTGGGCACCACTTTTGTTCAAATAAGGGCATGAAGGTATAAACACAGTGGTGGATTGATAAAGGTCACACAGCTAGTTAGGGACAGTTCCAGGCCTGGCATCCAAGTCTCCTGCCTGCCAGCTCCCAGCTGTTTCCCCTACACCACATTTGTGTCGGCCATGAAACACTCTGCATAGACCAACACACTGATGTTTAAGCTGTTGTTTATTTCTACAGGTCATTTAAAATTGGTCCTTTCCAAACTGATGCCCCATTTACACAGGCGTAGGCCAGTCTGCTCCTCAGCTCACATTGAAACATGTTTTTATTTACTTTTTTTGTTTGTTTTTTAATGACTAGCCCTGGCATTCTTTGCTAATAACATTGGCTTAGGTTTTTAAAGCTCATCTGTTCTCATAATTCATGGAAAGGAAATCACTGCCCATCCATCTCAATACAGGGAAAGATGGAAATATGGGCATAATTACTACCAGTAGATCACTAAGTCATGGTATTCTGGGCTCCCTTTAAATGCAAAAGGAAAAATAAAAACCATAGAAAGGAAGGGAAATGCCTGCCTCGGACAGTGAAAACTGAGTGTAAATGAATTAACAGTTAAAAGTAAACAATCTTTTCTTTTGCAGCTGGTTCCATATCTACGGTCCAATCTTACAGGGTTTAAGCAACTTGAAATTCTTAACTTCCGAAATGGGAGTGTGATTGTGAATAGCAAAATGAGGTTTGCTCAGTCAGTGCCATATAACCTCACCCAGGCTGTGCACGGGATCCTGGAGGATTTCTGCTCCACTGCAGCTGAACTTGATCTGGAAATAGACAACTACTCTCTCAACATTGAACCAGGTAAACAAATCCAACAGAGCAAGTTATCATAAGTTATTGTTCATTTTGTTTTGTTTTTGAGCAGGCGGTTTTAGCTGTCCAACCACAAAAGTCAAATTAAAATTACACTTGATAACACAATCTTGCAGAAGCTATGGGTCATGTGATTAGGAAGACAGTCCTAAGTTAAAGTTTTCTTACATCAAAAAGCACAGAGTGACACCCCTGTTAGAATAGCCATCATCAGCAACACCACCAACAACTGGTGTTGGCGAGGATGTGGGGAAAAAGGAACCCTCTTACACTGTTGGTGGGAATGTAGACTAGTACAACCACTCTGGAAAAAAATTTGGAGGCTACTTAAAAAAGCTGGACATCGATCTACCATTTGACCCAGCAATACCACTCTTGGGGATATACCCAAAAGACTGTTACTCAAGAGGCACCTGCACATCCATGTTTATTGCGGCACTATTCACAATAGCCAAGTTATGGAAACAGCCAAGATGCCCCACCACAGACGAATGGATTAAGAAAATGTGGTATCTATACACAATGGAATTTTATGCAGCCATGAAGAAGAACGAAATGTTATCATTCGCTGGTAAATGGATGGAATTGGAGAACATCATTCTGAGTGAGGTTAGCCTGGCTCAAAAAACCAAAAATCGTATGTTCTCCCTCATATGTGGACATTAGATCAAGGGCAAACACAACAAGGGGATTGGACTATGAGCACATGATAAAGCGAGAGCACACAAGGGAGGGGTGAGGATAGGTAAGACACCTAAAAAACTAGCTAGCATTTGTTGCCCTTAATGCAGAGAAACTAAAGCAGATACCTTAAAGCAACTGAGGCCAATAGGAAAAGGGGACCAGGAACTAGAGAAAAGGTTAGATCAAAAAGAATTAACCTAGAAGGTAACACCCACGCACAGGAAATCAATGTGAGTCAATGCCCTGTATAGCTATCCTTATCTCAACCAGCAAAAACCCTTGTTCCTTCCTATTATTGCTTATACTCTCTCTACAACAAAATTAGATATAAGGACAAAATAGTTTCTGTTGGGTATTGAGGGGGGGAGTGGGAGGGGGTGGAGTGGGTGGTAAGGGAGGGGGTGGGGGCAGGGGGGAGAAATGAACCAAGCCTTGTATGCACATATGAATAATAAAAGAAAAATGAAAAAAAAAAAAAACAAAAAGCACAGAGTGAGCCAGGTACTCGTGGCTCACACCTATAATCCCAGCTACTTGGGAGGCTGAGATGGGGAGACCTGTGTGCATGCATATTTGGGGGTGCTGTGTGTGGGGAGTTCTCACAAGACCCCATCTCAACCAATTCAGAGGAGGCTGAGATAAGGAGGATTCCCATTCCAGGACAGCCTGAACAAAAAAGTTTGCCAGACACCATCTCAACGGGGAAAAAAAAAAAAGATGAATGTGGTGGCATGCATCTGTCATCCCAGCTATGGCATGATGCATAAAATTGGAGTCTAGGCCACCCTGGGCTAAAAGGAGTTTCAAGTGTTACAGTGCCTGCCTACCAAGCCCAAAAGCCTGAATTCAACCTCCAGTACTGCCAAAAAAAAAAAAAAAAAAATCCAAGAGTGAGTACAATCCTTACTTCACAATCTGAGAGCTTTATGGTAGAAGTCAAAAGCACTTTTTCAGTGAACTGCCACAACCTGGGTGACTTCTACCTCTACCATTCCAGTCACAGTAAACCATCATCAGAATAGCCTCTTCTCCACATAATCCAAGAGAGAAAAATAATCAGATGAAAATTTAAACTTGGGGAAAGTCAATTCACAGTCACCAAAGGAGGAATATAATCTCCCTTCTCAGTAGTATGTCTTAGATCAGCTTCCTTGTGTAGCATAAACAAAGGATCAGCTAGAAATTTTATGGTAGACACCAGGCATTTGCTGCAGTAATAAAGCAGAGCATATGTGTCATTGTAACCAGCTATGCCTAAATCAGGGCGGTTTCCACCATTAGTTTAAAAATTCTGTTTTCTAAGCAACTGAAAGAAGTTTTTTAAATTCCCTGGAGTGCAAGAGGAGAGGGCTCCAGGCCTCCCAAAGCACTTTGCAGTCAGGTTCAAAACAAAGCTTCCTAATTGGCCATGAATTAGTGAAGTGGATCTTAAAACACCTTCTCTGGCTCTCTGTGGGCTAACAATGAAGGAAGAGGGAAAAGGCCTTGGGCAAAAAAAACTGGCAAGCCAAAAAAGCTCAGTAGGAAACATTCCTTCTTTGACAGAGCAGGGTTTTGAGCAACTTTAAGAAAATTGCCTCAGTAACTTAGTAAACAGGTCATTAAAAAGATAGAGAGCAGCACCCTTAGGCACTGAGTTTGGGAGTAGTTACCTCAGAAAGGGAGCAACTAAGTCAGCCCCTGGACCCCCTAAGAATCAAAGACTCCTGAATGCCAGCCAGAGACTGACTGCTTCTTCCCCTGAATATTGCCACAGAACTGAGTCAGTTAAGATGGGGAGTCTAATGTCTGTCAACTGATAAAGGTAACTGGAAGGATATGGGGAGAACTGAAGTGACAACCCTAATCCCTCCCTTCTTTCCTCCTTCAGAGAGCTGACAGTTTATTTAGAGACATCCAACAACACAAGTTCACTGTAAGGAGGATGAGGCAGGGGAGAGCCCAGGTATGCATCTGTGAGGAAAGGATTTTCAATGTAGCGATTTAAGATGTGCCTTAGAAAGAGAGTGCATTGCCAGAGCTGTACAAGGGCCACAGGTCCAGTCACTTGCCCCTCTTACTGGGGCAGATACCTCAGTTCTTGAGTCTGGCAAGAGATGAATTTAAGTAAGATGCAAAAATATAGTAAAAATAATAGTAAAATTTATTAGAAAAGGAATATAGTATATCTGGATAAAAGTGGGAGAAATGGAGGAAAAGGGAGTAAAGACTCAAAATGGTGGGAGAATATACGTGGTCAAAGATAATGGATCTGGGTAGCTAAGATTGGTGTCACCCAGGCCTGTTCAAATCACAGGGAGAAAAGATGTGCTTTAGAACTTCCCTCTGCCAGACATGGTATTTTCCACTCATTGAAAGAGCCTAGGAGTTTGTTAACAACTCAAAAAGAAAAGCAGAAGTAGGTAGCTCCTTTATGTGTCCCTTTTCCAGTAACTTAAGGAAATGGGAGAGGGCTAGCTGCTCTGGCTTTTCAGTTTTTATTCCTCATTCCAATGTCTGAGTCTGGCTCTTTAAATATTTATTAAAGTAATATAGCTCCCTGTCTCATCTATCCTGCCTCACAAGGACACTGCTGATACTGGAAGGAAGCACAGCATCAGGGCGGCCTTGGAAGTCCACGTGACTGGGAAGTCTGTGCAGTCATATAGACTCTTATGTCCAGTAAGAGAAGAGCTCAGGCAAGACACAAAGCAGAGTAGTAAAAATTATAGTTTTTTAGACTAGAAAAGCACTTTCAGAGGTGTAAGTTTGGTTGTCTCAGAGAAAGAGGTCAAGAACAACCATCACTTCCAAACCAGCCCAAGCTTTTGCTGGAGTTTAAGGGGCTTGGAGCACAAAGTCCCTCCCCAAGCCCAGTCTACAGAGAGTGATTAACGTGAAGGTTGTGAATTATAACACATCTCAGAAAATCACTTTGCACATGTGATTACCCATGACCACTTAAGAAAAACCCACAGAGAGGGGAAATTTTAAAGTACAATGAGATGTAGTGAATGACATATCAATTTCTCACAGCCAGTGTGAGCAGGTCACTTGACCTGACTGGGAGCAAGTCAGGATTAGAAAAAAGACACAAAGACAGACACAGAGAATAGCTGGGGTCAGGTGGGTCCAACACTCCTGATGAGAGACACCGGCAAGCTCCTCCGCCTCCAGGCACATCTATTTATACAGCATGTCTGGGAAAGCAGGGTAACATGCAGATTGAGTTCTCATGGGTCTAGTCTCATAGGCAGCAGGAACAGTGCAGCTGTGCTATGTTATTATTTAGGACAAACTATCCTGCCCAGGTCAGTGTGTCCTGTTTTTCTTGCAAGGCAGCCTTGCTGAACCTTGCCTCCCCTTGGCTGTGTCCATGCCCATCAGCCAAGAGGCCCTTGACAGAGCCATGCCCATGTCAAGGTCTATTTCCACTGCCTCAGTCTCCCCTCTTGCAAGGCAGCCTTGCTGAACCTTCCTTCATGCAGGGGCCTTGCCTTCTCAGCACAAAGGACCTTGACATGGCCATGTTCATGGCAAGGTTCCTTCTCAGTCTATTTAGTCACTGGTCTCCCACATCAATTGACAAAAGACAACTTGAGTAGCCCACATTAACTGATTAGACCAGAACCTGTCTCATTTGGGAATCTTGGGGAGGCCATGACCATATCAGGCCTTCTCCTATCTGGTTCACACCAGTCCTCCTCCCTATCTGTTGGTGGGTCATTTTTGCAATGAGGTGGAGCCAGAATCCTAGGTCAAGAAGTTTAAGAGAGAGAAAGGGAGGAAAAGAGGGAAGGAGGGAGGGAGGTTGGGATGGAGGGAGGAAGGAAGGATGGAAGGAAGGATGGAATGAAGGATGGAAGGAAGGAAGGAAAAGATACACAGCTTTCTGCACATATGTACTGAACCAAGGATTCTCCATCTTAGGATCCCCATCTTGTGAGTAGAAGTACTACTATCACATAGCCCTGAATGTGACTCCTGTGTGCTAACAGCAGTGTTCAATTTCCACAACCAGAACACGGAGACAGTAAATTGTGAGACTTCACCAAAAGAATATTTATAATCCTTAGCACAATATTTGATACATTATTGTTGCTTAATAAAGGTTAGGTACTAACCTGTCATAATAATTTGACTATAAATTTGTGACCTGCATAGGGTACCAGCAAAAATAATTTTTTAAGTAGCATGGCAAGGTATTCATTTGGAAGTTGGAGCTGAAATTATTTTCACTAATTTCTTACAAACAGTTCAGCTATATAACTTTTCCTCTAAGCAACCAACAGAAGTGAGATGATGCTAAATCAGTGTGAGTCCCT